GGTCCAATTGGTAAATTACTTCCAATCTGTGAAACTTTTTCTGTAAAGCATTTTTCAACTATAGAGATGAATAGTTTTCCAGATGTAAATTTTAAAGATTTAAGCACAGATCAATTTTATATAAAATTTATATAAAATTGTATTTATATAAAATGTGCCACGCAGTGAATAATGGTGAATGCCCAATAAATCTGGCAAATAAGACTCCAGGTTCTGTAGTTCACTAGCGCTGGCTGACAACAGCTAGCAGAGTTCTGCGGTTATATGTTTCGATGGAAGATCCAACTGAAAATCTAGTGACTCTTGCAACATTTGTTGTTAAAGTTTCCGCTCCTACCTGGTTTTATATCAAGACGAAATCATCGTGTACTCAAAGGGCACTCCATCTATGGAGAATGATAAACTTTTCAAGGTACCTTAAAAATGACTTAAGATGTATTGTGGATGAGGTAATTCAGAGAAATGCTTATTTCAGTCATTACGAAAACATCCTACTTGCAATGTTGACTGATGAGCGCGAACACATAAGGAAACTGGCATTCAGAAGAATCCTTGGTGTAAGAGAAAAAAACAGTCAGTCACTAAGACGCTTTCGTGTGCCGAAACTTAATTTCGAAGCAGATGACTACACTAATCTAATTGACTGGAGTGTTGTCCAGAAAAGCGAGCCCCCTGCTACAAAGAACATCTCAACTCATGAAATAAAGTCATTTGTAAATGGTGTTTCATTGACTGAACCAGTTTTAAACATTCCAGAGTTTTCATGTCACACTCAGTCAACTGAAAGACACGTTAAGCTTGTTACTGAAGCATCAGCTACTGTTTGCGGTTTTGATCGCAGAGATGGAATGATTCAACTTTTCAATACCCAGCTCAAATGAATTTCTAAAAAAAAGTTTTTTCACTCCACCCTAATATATATATATATATATATATATATATATATATATATATATATATATATATATATATATATATATATATATATATATATATATATATATATATATATATATATATATATATATATATATATATTGCAAATGTAAGGTTTTTTTTTTGAATGGAAGGGGGTTCCATTCAAAAAAAAAACCTGTCATAAGGGCCCCCAAAATTCTTAAAAACTTTTCCAATAAATAAAAAAAATCTAAATAAAAATACTAAATAAAAAAAAATCCTTACATTTGCAATATATATATATATATATATATATATATATATATATATATTATATATATATATATATATATATATATATATATATATATATATATATATATATATATATATATATATATATATATATATATATTAGGGTGGAGTGAAAAAACCTTTTTTTAGAAATTCATTTGAGTTGGATATGGAAAAGTTGCCTTTGGGTACAAAATGAACTGTGCTAAAAGCATTTTGCACTAGGTTAATATTTAGGTCTGCCCCAAGGCACTTGAAAATTTGAGTTTTTTGTTAATTTCGCAATTTTTGGTTTAAAAAATAATAATTTCCTATCATTGCAAATTCATGTTGGCTGGGTATGCAAAAGTTGCCTTTTAGTTCAAGGTAAACTGTGGTAAAAGCATTTTGCCCTAGGTTAATTTTTAGGTCTGCCCCAAAGCTCTCGAAAATATGGGTTTTTCGTCCATTTTGTGGTTTTTGGCGAAAATTTAATAATTTCCAATAATTGCAAATTCATGTTGGCTGGGTATGCAAAAGTAGCCTTTTAGTACAAGGTAAACTGTGGTTAAAGCATTTGGCCCTAGGTTAATAATTAGGTCTGCCCCAAGCCACTTGAAAATTGAGTACTTTAATTTAAATCCATACAAAACCAATTTCGTACATATTTCAGATTGTTTATAGGCATATTAAATAACATTACAAATGTATTATGTATGTAATTATATATCCAAGAACTTCACAGTGGTTTAAATCTTTATAATTGAAACTGAGACTTAGTGTTGAAAGTTTTTGTCTTTGATCGCAATTCCAGTGTGGCACGAATCATTCCATCTCTGCGATCAAAACCTTTGATCTAGTAGCCACGACTTTGTATATAAGGTATATATAATATATATCAAATTATATACAATATAAATAAAAAAATGTATTTATTTAATAATTTTATATAATTTATTTATCATTAACTAAAGGAGTGTTATCAATTTATTATATGAATCATAAGCATGTGCTTATCTATTACAAGTACATTTTAAAACGTTGAAATAAATGTCGATTATAAAATTAAAGGTTATGTCTTTCTACCTTCGATGGTGAAAATTACATTTTTTATTTGAAGAGTGTTGGGAGAAATCGTAAGAGTTTTAACCATATTAAAAATAATGTATGTGTTATCTATAAAATTTAAAACTAACAATTAAATTTAATTTTTTTAGAGTTCATATTAAAACAAGCTATTGTGTAAAGAGTTTTTAACAACATTGTCGTTTTAACAACAAGTCGTTTTAACAACAACAAAAACAAACAACATTGTCGTTTTAACAACAATGGAAAAGCTTCCAATTCCCGAGATAACCGTGAAAGCATTCGATCCATTATTAAAGAATCGTTTAAAAGTTTGCTTAATTTCGACAGTGTAATTTTAATTACTATTTTTTTGAAATAAACCAATCAAGTTATATATAAATGTGCTTTTTCTGTAAATTTTAAACACTAAACGAAGTTTTGCAAGATTTGCAATGGGTAAACCTCGTGCGATCCTCACGGGATACCCGGCGGGAACCCATATGGGTCCCAGAAGAAACCGCGGCCAAGACCCGGCGGGTTCCCGAAGGGTTTCCCATATGGGTCCCATTTGCAAACCCAAATGGGTCCCTGACGGTTTTAAAGTACGGGATTTGACTGGGACTCATACGGGATACCCGGTGGGTTAACTTATATAGGTCCCATATGGAAACCGCGGCCATGATCCGGCGGGATACCGTTGGTCTTCCCGTACGGAACCCAGTTAAGGACCCGCACGGTACCCGTATGTCAATGTTGGCTGGGTTGATCCTGTTGACTTTCATTTCTTCAAGTAATTTTTTCCGTATAACCATTGTATCGAAGGAATAATCCTCGTTTATGTAAATATTCGTTCCTTTGAGTTTGTGTGCGTTTTTTAATATTAGAATCTTATCTTTATTATTTAATAACTTTATTACTATAGTTCTCGGATTTTTTGAATTTATCTTTCCTGTTCTGTGTGCCCGTATATGAATGTGTTCAATATCTCTTTGAACACATTCATATTTTTTTAGTTGTTCGTTTACATTTTCAAGTTCTACTTTCCTTGATTCGTTTTCATTGAACAGAGTTTTATAAGATTCTTTTATTGGTAATATTTCTGCATTCAAGCCATCAGTTCTTTCGTTAGATAATTTTAAGTTTCCGCTGATAAGTTTAAGAATGTCGTTTTGCTGTTTTTGAAACATTTCTTTGAATATTTTTCGAACAATAGTTATTGAGACTTCTTCATCGTCATTAATGGAAGATTCTTTTGATAACTTTTTCGATTTATTCATTTTGTGAAATAAACCGTTTTAATCCAGCATGCGAAAAAATAATAAAACAAAAAGCGAAAAAAATATATATTACATATTTTTTTCTTCTCTGCTAAGCAAAACGCGTCCGTTCGCCGCGATGTTTTGAGCATGAAAAAAACTTATACCGTAGCGTGGGATAATTGAGCACCATTTTTTAAAGCTTTTATTTAAATAAAATTAAAAATTGTAGAAAATTTTAAAAAGTGAGATATGTTATTTTAGTACTATATTAGGTCTATCATTTAGGAAGGTTGAATTAAAAAAAAATTCCAGCAAAGAGTTAATCACACAAAATATGCGGGTGCGCATTTACCCCACGATTTAGGGTAAACGAGCACCTTAATATTTTTTTCATAAACATATATACATACATATATATATATATATATATATACATATATATATATATATATATATATATATATATATATATATATATATATATATATATATATATATATATATATATATATATATATATATATAATCTTTGAATGTCATTTTCTTGTTATACGCTAAAATATGGTTAGAATTCAACATAGCCGTATTTATTGAATTCTCACCATATATACATATATATATATATATATATATATATATATATATATATATATATATATATATATATATATATATATACATATATATATATATATATATATATATATATATATATATATATATATATATATATATATATATATATATATATACACACATATATATATATATATATATATATATATATATATATATATATATATATATATATATATATATATATATATATATATATATATATATATATATATATATATATATATATATATATATATATACATATATACAAATTTGGGAAAGTCTTACGCGGATATAGCTTTTTAACGCGGAGATAGATGCAATAATAAATCTATATTTTATATTGAATATTGATTTAATTTCATTTTATAAAAATTATTGTCAAAAGCATCATACTTTGTGTGTGTGTGCGCGCAAAAGATCCTTATCTGACACTCAGTCCAATTTTTGGGTCATCCTGGCCCCCTGCAAAAAATTAAATCTAAAGACAAACAATGCAGCAGACAAATTTTCTTTATCTAATCTAATATTCTTTACCTAGCATTCAAATAAACTTAGATATTTTTTATTTGTATGTTGAACATAAACAAATGGAACAATTTTTTTTTTATTTCAATTTTCATAATTTATTAAAAAAAAAAGCTTTCTTGTGTATTAAAAAAATAAATAATCCAGACAAACTAACCGGACTTCCTATCACCCTGACTGATATTATATACATGGGTGAAGGATGTGAACACTAGTATAAACTTACATAAGTTTGAAGTTGATTTAAATCAACTTTCTCAAACATAAAATAAACAAATGAAAAAATAGTCTAATATATTTTGAAGAAGTTATTTTATCTAAGGAGTCGTTCAAAAGGATATTTTTTATTTTGATTAGCTAGCGTTTTGATTGGGATTTTAAAACAGAAGAAACTGCAAAATCATCCAGTGAAACACTTTTTCCCGGTGAAACCTTGACTTTTTTCCCACGCAACACTGCCCCAGGTTTTTTAGCAGATGCTTCTCTAAGTTCTTTAAGACGTTCAAGAACTAACGGGGATACTAAGTTTTGAGAGGATGTTGAAATGTCTGCTCTTAAAATCTTGTCAATATTTTTTTTTCTTATTAGCGGGTAGATACCAGATGTTTTAAACCCATTTACAGCAAACTCTTGTATGTGGTCTATATTAGATATTAGATTAAGGAGCAATCTCGGGAAAACATTTTTTGGTAGGGATGTATGAAACCTCCCTTCCCCAATTTTCCATGCAGTAAGCACTTTTCTCCATGTTGATTTCATGGGTCCATAAACTGTAAGATCTAGAGGTTGAAGCAAATGTGAACTGTTTGGAGGTAAAAAGACCATCAAAATATTATTAGCCTCACAAATTTCTATAACCTCAATAGACAAATGGCATGCTAAATTATCACCAATGAGAATTTTTGGTGCGTCATTGTCAACATGTCTGAAGTAAGGTATTACTAATGTTTGCATCCAATCTATAAAACAGTGACTATCAAACCAACCAGACTTTGTTCGGTTATATCGTGCACCCATTGGACCTCCAAATATCCATGTGTCCATTAGACGCTCAGCTTTATACACTGTATATGGAGGAAGAAATAGACCATCAGCAGAACATGAAAACATAATAGACACTGATGACTTTGATGTATTCATAACTCGTTCAGCATGTTTAGTACCCTTTCTGAATATCATTTGTTTTGATTTTGGGTCATCAGAAAGATTTGTTTCATCATAGTTTATTATATTTTGAGGCAAAATATTTTTTATAGTTTCTTCTAAATTACTAAAATAACTATTTACAGAATCACATGAAACTGCAGCACGTTTTCTACAAATATTTTGACATGCTCGATAAGATAGCAATTTTTCATGTCGTTTTAAAAATGATCTCACCCAATCATTACCAGGCAAATTTTTTTAAAATTATGGGCAATCCATATACAAAAAATTATGGACATCAGATTTTTGAAGAAAGCTTTGTATAAACAGCTTTAGGTCTACTATTTCGAATGCATAGCCAAAATCACTAAAAGTTGCAATGTATTGAGCAATTGTTACTTCCTCTTCTGGCAACAATGCACTCCTTCGACCAACCACGCTAGTTTTTGTTAAACCCCTAACATGACATCTTAGAGTTCTGTGTGGTATGTTCAATAGCCTTGCCACACATTTACAAGGTTCTGTCATTAACAAGTTCGACTGTTTTTTTAAGTTCATAATCTGTGTAGGTTTTGGAAAGTTTTTGTTTTGATTTTACGTAGTTTCTCACCATTTTATCAGATATCTAATATGTAAAAGTAAAGCATATAAGCTAAAAATTTAAATTATTTGCACCTTTAGATATTTATTTCATTAACAATAGTATTTAAAGGGTAAAAAACAGCTATTTGAAAAGGTGCTCATTTACCCCAAATAAAGGTGCTCAATTACACATTACATTAAACAACAATATTTTATTAACACTTCATTTATGAGACTTTAAAATTTATACGAATTTACCTCAACATATGTATAGTATACTACAAAAAATTCAAAACTCTAAGAAGGTTTTAACTATAACTACTTACCCTTAGTATTTCCAGTTATTAGTTTTTACGGAATTCTATGATTCTGCATCGTGATATATTTAAAATGTTATTAGCTATTTATTTTTGACCAAAACAGTTGTAATTAGCAACATACAACTTAAAAAAGTTAATTTAAATATTTATATCTTGAAAATGATTAACAGTGCCGTGGCTAGTGGCTTTAGGCCCCCCCCCCCCAAAGCATTCCATTAGGGCCCCAAAGTTTTTTTAAATGCGTTTAACACGGCTGTTTCAAACCGAGCTTAACGGCTTCTTGTTAATTTTTGAAAATATTGACTAAAGGGGTGTTACTAAAACTTTTATAACTTTTGAAATATAAGAGGTAATTTTGTTTTGTAAAAACAATTAAGACATCAATAAAATGTTTTACCTTATGACATTTAATGCATTAGTAGAAAAACTTCTTTTAGTTTAGAATAAATATGACATATATTGAATTTGGCTAAATTTTTGTAATTTGATGTTACTTTTTATCAAAAAAAAGTTAGAAAAATATATTCCTAATAGTTATTATCAAATACACTTATTGTTTGACAATAATGAAAACAAAAAAACCTTACTTAATTATTTAAGGTTAACTAAAACAGCCTTAATCGAATTGTGAAAGCAAACCACATTTTTCGCAAAATTATGAAAAACGTCGTTATAAGGGGGGATTAGTTGTTAAATGAGTACTTTTTTTAATATAGAAGTTCTTGATTTAGAAAATTATTTTGGAACGCTGATAAAACCATTACATTACAAAATAAAGTTCTAATAATATGGTGTTAGGTAATTAATAAACAAAAACTCATCAATTCTAATAAAATAATTCATGACCAAAATTGAGTTAAAGGTTTTGAATTAACCTAGCTTTTGGTAGTAGAATTATTTTATGGTACTTGTATCAATAATCTCTTCTCACAAAAAATAAAGTGTTTAAATATACACAAATAGCTGATTTAAATCTTTTGATAATTCGTTTTTATTTTCATTAAAAACTGTTTTATAATTAGTTGGTCCATTGATAAGTTCTTCAAGCAGTAAACTATCTTTGAACACCCAGTTGATAATAGACTCATACATAATTCATTTAAAACCAGAAGAACATTTGGTCAACTTGGCAATTGTGATAATAAAGTTTACAACTTCTTAATTTATCAAGCTAAATTTTTACACCAACTTGATAAATGAGACTTATATTCCATTCTTTAACCAGAGAGGAGGTATGTAGAGCAGAGGTCCTGCGAAGGTAGAACTAACTTTTGATGATAAAAATTGAACGGAGATCTGATATATATAAAAATGTTACATATTACATAACAAAGGATAAAACGTTTTTTGAATTAACTACATAAACATACAAAATCATATCCAACAAACATACCAGTTGCTCTGATCACAAATTAAAATAGTTAGCTATACATTTGATGCTAGACTTTTATTCCATTCTTTAACCTGAGCAAAGGCATTGCATAGATATAATAAACTTTTGAAAATAGGAACAGAATGGGCATCTACCTAATATATAAAATCATTGTAATAAAAAATTATTATTATTTTGAACAAACATTACAGGCATTAAAACAGAATAGAATTCTCTTATTTGTAATTTAAAGATCTTATATAATTTATCTTAGATGTAAAAAGTTTAATTTTTTTTTTAACTTTTCAAACATTTAAACTAAATTTGATGACCACAAACAAGACAAAGACCTTGTCTATAAAATGAATTTTCGCCACGCTCTGAACACACAACACACTTTCTCACCTTAGAGGCTTGAAGCTTCCTATCAGCTTTGCTGTGCAATTCAAAGCGTTTTAAAACAAGATGCAGCTTTTGCTCCTGATTTCTAACTGAATGCAACTGCCTTAATTCCTAAGCAATTTTACAAATAGTGGCACATTGAAAATGAGTTCATGCATTTTTCGCGTGATACTTTCTTTTGGGAAGCAAGCATGAAACTCAATAGCAAATAAATTTATATATTGATGAAGCTCAGAAATTTCGGCATCAGAAAGAATCTTTCGCTTAAAAAGAATAGGTTGCAAGTTATTAAAAACACTAAACACACGTACAAATCTATTTTTAATTGCTTCATCATCAATAACACTACAAAGTTTATAGTGGTTTCTTAATACTATTTTACAATGATTACCTACAAATACATTACCATGGTAAGCTTGTCGCTCAACTTTCATATCTTCAAGGGTCTTATAAAGAGACCTCTCATGAGTCCCCATGCTACTTATAGATATTTTTTCTAGGTCTTCACACTCTATCTGCAATCGAATATACTCAACGTCTAAAACTTCGCGCTGTGCGCGTATAAAAGAAATTTTTTCAGAAATATAAAGGTCAAGACATTCTAAATCTTCACCCTGACATGCTAAACACTCATACCTCTCTATATCACACAATACATTCTTTTCCGAACCACCAATAATTTCACAAAATTGATGGAACAATTTTTGGCACGTACCACACTGCACCCAATCAATGTTACAATCATATTTAGTAATTAAACACCTGATACTAGCACACTTTTCTTGCTGTTTACAGGTTTTTTTTTTATTGGAGGAGTTTAGAGATATGCATTCCAATTCAGAAATATTTTTATCAAAAGCTAATCAACGAGTCTGTAGATTTGCAACGTCTACAAATTGATTTCCTAATAAACGTAAAGAGTCTGCTGTTTTAGAACATTCAAAGCTTTTAGCAGCCCACAATTCATTCGTTCTCACATTCTCATTATGCGACAAAGACGAAACAGCTTGACAATCCAAAGTCTTACACTCCTTCAACAATAACTTATAAAGTTTTAACACAACTCCTAACATAATATGCAAAACAGGTGGCACTACATTATCTAAAGTTATTATGGGGAAAATCACAGGAGCAATAATTGAATTATGAAACTTACCTAGAGCTCTTAGGTTTCCACCTTGTCTATCTTCACACAAGTTCTCATTGTAAGCACTTTCCAGAGATTGTATTGTCCTCCTTAAGATGTTAATTTTAGCAGGTGTGTGAGGCATAGAAGCATGGTTTCTTAGAGAATTCAACTTAACTAGGTCTGTAGAACTAGGAAAGCTAGCAGCTGAACCCTGGTGTCCCAGAACATCATCGATAAAATGAAAATCTCCACCTAAGAACAACCTGACTATTTTGCCTTTTAGCTTAAAATCTGACGACTGAATTCTTTTAATGTCGTTGGCATAATGCCCGAGAACTAAGGCAATATTCTCACGACAGTCTGAACCCTGATACATACAAAATAAATGAACATCTTATACAGACCCTGATGAAAAAAAAAAAAGTGTCAATTTAATTAAATTGACACTTTTTTTTTTTTTCAAAAAGCGCAAGGCGTATCTTTTATAATGCACCGAACATATTTTTAAGTAGTCGTTCACGAGAAAAAAAACAATAAAATTAACCCTTTAATTTAATTAAGTATATTTTATAATTGTTATATTTATTAAGAGTTTAAAACAAAAAGTTTCTTTGACTACTGTGAATGTATTAGGCATTCACAGGTCAAAAAAAAGGTTCGCGTCGTGTTTTCATACTTGCAAACTTATTTATTAAGCCTTCATAACTTAATTTCCTTGCCACCTCGTTCTCGATTGACAGCATTGCTAGGGAAGACAAACGTTCATCGACCATTGTTGACCTACATAAAGATACAAAGAAATATAGTTATATGTGTTTACGTATAAGGAAGTAAGAGTATTTATACTGACCTATGAAAAGTTTTAATTAATTTTAACTTGCTAAAGCTACGTTCTGCACTTGCAACAGTTACTGGAGTAGTAAGAATGATGCGTAACGCAATAACTAGATTAGGATAAGTTTCCTGCAGCTCTTCTTTGTAGATGTAGTTAAGGAAGTCATATGCAGATTTCAGGTTTGTATTTTTGTCCTCTTGTACAACTATGACAAATCGTTTCAACTCCATTTCCAAATCTTCAGAATCTATATCACCAAGCTTCGTTTGCAAATTTGTGCAAAATACAGTAAGAGAATTTTCATTACAGGCTTTGATAAGACTCTCAGACCGGTAAAGAAAGTCAAAAAGATTTGTGAAGATACTGACCTGTTCAAAACGCTCCTTTACTGAT